ATAATGGGGGCGCCTGAGTGGCTCAGTCGGTTAAGCGGCTGACTTCGGCTCAGGTCATGATTTCGCTGTCCGTGAGTTCGAGCCCCGCGTAGGGCTCTGTGCTGACAGCTCAGCGCCTGGAGCCTGTTTCAGATTCTGTGTCTCCCTCTCTCTGACCCTTCCCCATTCGTGCTCTGTCTCTCTCTGTCTCAAAAATAAACGTTAAAAAAAAAATAATTAAAAAAAATAAAATCGCCATAATGTTTCAGTTGTGCATCAGAATTGAAAACCTCTTGTGACGATTCTTATGGCCTGCCATAGACCTAAAAACAGGATTTTTTTTTTAAATTTTTTAATCTTCATTTATTTTTGAGAGAGAGACAGAGTGTGAGCAGGGGAGGAGCAGGGAGAGAAGGAGACACAGAATCCGAAGCAGCCTCCAGGCCCCGAGCTGTCAGCGCAGAGCGCGTCGTGGGGCTCGAAGCCACCAGCCGTGAGATGATGACCCGAGCCAAAGTCGGACGCTCAACCGACTGAGCCACCCAGGCACCCCCAAAACAGGATTTTTAAATCTGAGTGTCCAACATTTGCCCCGTGTCATGATAAAAGGTATAGGTGTTGCTTATTACCTTGATACCCCAGTCTGGTTATACTGTGAATTATCTAATTCCTTACATTTTCTACCAGTGGCCTCAAGAATGAAAGGGATGGGGGAGACAAAAGGGCAGGTGGCTACTGTTTTTTTTGGTGGGGGGGGAGGGCGTTGTTGGTTTTTGAGAGACAGCACAAGTGGGGGAGGGGCAAAGAGAAAGGGAGAAACAGAATCCCAAGCAGGCTCCAGGCTCGGGGTGGGCAGCCCAATTTGGGGCTGGAGCCCACAAACCAGGAGATCATGATCTGAAACTGTTGTCCAAGGTAGTTCCTAAATGTATGGTGCACAGAGCAGGAACGGTGTTAAGGGAGGCAAAAGCAGACCAAAGTTGAGAAGTCACTGCTGTTTCGGAGCGGAAGAGAGTGAAGGTAGGTTTCTAGGTGGGGAAGGGGTTGAGTGGTGAAAAGTGAGGTTTTAATGGCTAATAATCTAGTTGTTTATGGATCCTTTGAAAAAGTCTTCAGGGCGCCTGGGTGGCTCAGTCGGTTGAGCCTCCGACTCTTAATTTTCAGTTCCGGTCATGATCCCGGGGTCATGGGATCCAGCGCCATATTGCGCTCAGAGTGGAGATACTCTCCCTCTTTGCGTCCGCTTGTGTGCACGCGCTCGCTGTCTCTCAAATAATAAAAACAAAGACTTTGTAAATGGTGTTTCAAAATTTAAGAAAATTTACCCACCTAGTCTCTTAATGTGAAGGAATGAAAGTTTCAGTGGAAAAAATAATAGGATGGGAAAGCAGTTTTCAAATACTCTGATACTTGGTATTGTCGAGCCCTTTATTTATTTATTTATTTATTTATTTATTTATTTATTTATTTATGTATGTATGTATGTATGTATGTTTATTTTTGAGAGCGAGCACGAGCAGGGCTGGAAGAGGAGACACAGAATCCAAAAAAGGCTCCAGGCTCTGAGCTGTCAGCAGAGATTGAGGTGGGGGCTCAAACCCACCAACTGTGAGATCAACCTGACCTCCACCCAGGTCCCCACTATGTGTTTTCTTAACGTTTTTGGGGGGGATTTTGTGTGTGTGTTTTTGTGTGTGTGTGTTTTTTTTAATGTTTACTTAGCCAAGCCCTTTAGATTGCAAAACTGTGATTAGTAGTGTGGCCAGAGAGGATTACTGAGGAATTTGGTTTTACTGAAAAATCAACTTTTTCTACATAGTCTTCATAGTTTTGTGCACAAAGACCATTGTCTTGTTACTATAATTGCTTTGAATATTTTCCCCATTGTTGAACATCCAGGTTTTCAGTTTTCTTTACTACAAATTATATTGCCATGAATATTTTCATAACTTCGTGCTTAAAAGTTTTTTCAAGTATTTCCTCAGGATACATTGTAAGGAGTACATTTTGATGTCAAAAATCTAGACGTTGTAATTGCTGTGATATATTTTCCTTCACCTGCACATGTATCTATTTGTATTGCCAATAATGGTACTAGAATGATGGTTTCCCTGCAAATTGATAGCCCATTCATGCTTTAACATAGTCCTGTTAGTGCATTTGCAGATTTTCAGTTTTTTATTACTGAGCTTCTGTTCATTTGGCACTGTTGGCTGGTACATTTTATAGCCATAATTCTAGTAGCTTTAGCCTTGCTGATGGTACTAATTAGTTCCTGATTTCCTCTTTAGAATCCTTTACAACTTGGGAATTTTTTTTTTTCAGTATAATTTCTCGCAAAGGTGTAATTGATGGCCGCATTCCAGCCCAAACCTATTATAATCTCCTTTTCTATGGCCAGATGCCTAGAAATCAGCTGGCAGTTATTTATTCAGTAGCTAATTCATATGGAGAAGACTATAACTTTGGTTAGAATTCTCACTCGAAATACTAACGGGTCTTTTTTTGATTGCTTGTTTCTCTGGCCAAAGTTCATCATAGGTGACAACATAGAACTGCATTCCAAGTGGTTGGGGAGTGGAGTAGAGTATGATGTGGGAATTAATTGGAAATTTCTGTGAAGTTATTTCTGAACAATTCTAATAGCATAGTCAACTCTTGGACTGAATGTCTACTTCATAAACTATCCGGTTCTGTTGTTTTTCTCTTGATGAAAGCACAGGATACTGGGGAAGATGTTCTCCACCTAAATCAAATTCTTTAGTACTTGTTGGTACCAAACCGTTTCTGTTTAAAAAGATAAACTGGTAGCCAAAATAGAGACTTCAGTAGCAGTAGTCTAAGTTTACCTTGAACCAAGTTTTCTGGGTTTCTGGCACCAGGATGAAGGAAAGGGCATTCAAGTAGTGTTCTCTATTTCTACATAGTACCCCCTGGGGTGAGAAAAGTAGTAAGTTTCTAATGACCCAGGCTGGGACACAAGGAGTAAGGGTTTATCTGGCTTTACTTTGTACCCAGAATGGCAAACATACTTCGGAATGCTGCTTATGGCTCAGACTAAAGTTAAACCCATTTTATGAGTTCATTATTTTGGACGTGTTGTGGACTTAAGAAAGGGGGGGGGG